GGGGGATTTATTATTGCCCAAGAAATCTCTGAACATATTCAGAATTTTTGAGAGCAGCAAGTATAGATAGCAGATTGCAATGGACACCATTACAATATTGCTTTGCCGATTGAGGTCAGAGCTTTAAAGAATAAATAAATAAATGTTCTATAGCTCGCTAGACCACTGGTTTTTAATGAACAGTTTGCATGACACTTATAAAATAGTTTGTTATACTGCACATTATAGCTGTGACAACATGATATAAAGTGTAAAAATGCTATTTCACTGTTTAATAGACTTACCCAGTATTTAAGGATGACATGTTTCTTGCAAAGTCATCAGGACTTTGAGGGAGGTTCTAACTACGTTTAATTAATTAACTTACTAAAGAAAAAAGAAAAAGAGGTTTTGTTTTTCCCCTGCAAGTGAATTTTCGGCGCAAGGTCATTTTGTGTTCACAGACTATTCGGTTTTAAAAAGCTGTTCTTTATCTCCCATTATGAACGGCCTTGTAATTCCTATCCACACTAAAAGTTGGCTTTTAAATGTTATTGTTTTAACTTTAATATTTCATAGTTAATACAGAGGATAAAGTAATTTAAAGAAAGTATATTGAAACTATATTAATTGATAAGATTTAATTTATCTATTTTGGTCCACTGTTCACTGATCTCGAGTCTCAGTCTGGTGTTCAAACAGTTTTTCTTACGATACGTCATGAGTTTATATCCACAACTGCGTTTTGCTTTGTGATAACAAATTGAAAGCCTGGCATTGTAATACGTGTATGGACATGCTTATAACAAAGCATGGTCCCTCTCCTCATGTAGTTGGTCATTAACAGGCACTTTGATGCAATGTGTCTACCAACGCTTTTCTGTGGTCACTGGATCACATCGCATACCCTATCTCTCTGTCATGATGCAGAGTTTATGCTTGCAAGGATATCCAGACCTTATCCACCTGGTATCCGCATAAATACTCCTATCGTTTAGAGGGGTTAATTACATAATAACCATTGAAGGTAATATGTTGGTTGTTCTTCCTATAGAGGAAAGATGGACTTGCCCTAAAAGCTTTTTCATGGCTAGGACAAGCTCTTATAGAGAGAGGTAATGTACTTCTGACTCCTGAAAAGGAATATTGGTGGTCACAATATGGGAAATACTGTAATTCATGTGTTTAGTAATCATAAGCATTTGCTTATTGCCACATTACTGATGTACTGTTTATTGAAATATTAATATCCAACATACTTTTTGAATTACTATATATTGAAAGTTTGCCAACATCTCATGGTTATAAATATGTTTTTGTATGTGTTGATGCATGTACCAGGTTTACTTGGATATATCCTGTGCGAAGTGCAACCTCTGATGCCACGTTTTCTAGTCTCACTTCCTTAGTATGCATTTGATAATCCCAGGACCATCCATTTGGATGGTGGTCCTGCAGTTACTGCAAAGGAAACCTAAAACTGGGCAACCACATTTGGGTTACTTTGGGATTTCAGTGCCCCAACCACCCCCAAAGAAGTGGGGTTGTGGTCTGGGAAAATGCTGAGGTTAAATGATTATTAACCAAGTTACTAGTTGCTTGCCCCACACAGTGGTATCTATTTATTCCTATGGTACAGATAAGAATTCACAACATACCTGATGATACAAGTGGTGAGACACCATATGAAATGTTACATGTTTTTTCACTGACAATCATATTTCTGCACCAGGGAGAGCTTAGAACCATTGGTTCTATTGGAGAAATTCAGGGAATTATTTTTTCCAGCCCACCTCGCCTTGCACCACCAACTTTTTCTTACTGTTGGCTAGTTTGTCCTGGAGAGGGTGACTCAGAGAACTTTTACTACAGAGAACAATCAGAGCCAACAGAGAACAGTAAGTTTTGATATTTTACAACCTGCTAAATACTTCCAGGACGTTCACAGAACCACTGACTGACACAATGGATGCTGTTAAAGATGACAAGATAAAACAAACAGAGGACGACAGAAAAGCCACCAGAATCACAGCCACGTAACAGACTGAATCATGATCTGACATCTGAACCTGCAAATGTGAAGGAGAAGGATGAACAGACAGACGTGATACATTCACAGTTAACATGGAATGTATGAAAAATAAATCATCAACATCATTATAAGAAAGACTCTGGAGAAAACAGACTGAACCTGAATTATCTTATACAGTAAGAAAGAAATGCAAAGATGGAAGCAAAAGGATGCTAGAAAATTGGTTATGGTGTCTCCTTCTTACAATCTACAGCATTATCATAACATCAACCCTAGCTGTTGTTTTAAACCTGCATTGGGATTATGTTAACAAGCAGGACTATATAACACACTATACAAGTTCTTTTGATCGTGAGGACTACCTCCAAGAACTATTTCAAAAGGAGAGACACAGCTCACAGTGAAATGATTGCCTACACTGGTATTTCACAAGGAACCTATTGAGATCATTCCAAAAAACGATTATACATGAGAAAGATGTGATTGGACTATTACAAATCCTAATAATGGACTCAACAATGATGACAAAGCATGCTGAAATCTGAAAAAGATGGGACAGATGTTTGTGAAAGACTTTGGATGCACCTATGAAGGTGATGCAAGAAAAGACTTTGCCATATAGTTTATCATTGAGTGACTACCGCAAACAGCCTTCTTATGCTGAAAAGAAGTGCTATGCTAATTCTGGACATTGCAATTATGTATCCAGACAGAAGATGACCGGAAAAAGAAATAAAGGCTGATAACTGTCAACACCCAGCTGTTTTTCAAGATGGAACATGGTACTGAGAAAACCTGATAGACTATCAAAGCACCTCACAGTACAACACAAATTGTTGCCTACAACTCAGAAAAAGTGGTTTATAGGAAGGAGCAGAAGAAGAGGAATATAGATTTCCTATTGGAGTGAAAAACCATCCTGGAACAATATTCTGTAACAATGAACTTTACAATGACATTTGGTGGCATATGAATTTGAATTTGGTAGAAACACATCAATTAACGAAAGAAACCTTGATGCAAATAATAAATAATAACAATACCGGCTTACCAAGAGCAGATGCCCTGCCAAGAGAATGCAATATAAAAAGACCAACAAAATCTATCAGAAACTTGACATCATGGGACACTTGTACTAAAGCACGATTTGCAGCTTTTCTTAAACTCTACATATTATGTACATACCTGCAAAGCAAGGAACTCCTGTAAACATAAACACAGAGACATTGATACAACAAGGAATCTGTAATAGTTCTGTTGCAGATGTGATCTACCGTCGTACTCCTTGCTCTTTTGGTATAACTATACCAATCAAAACGTTAAATAGCTCCATAGAATCAAACGACAATGGATTCTTGCTATATTCTGGACTTCCAAGAATGTGGTGCATGGACCGAAAATTATAATTACTAAAGCAATCATGCTATTTTTTCCCTTTATCAGAAATGTGTCAGTGACAATGTGTAATATAATACAGATACTATAATTAATGGTATAAAATAAACACATAATGTGTTAATTACAAAGGTGGATAGACTTTGTGAATATCTGAAACGCAATTGAAGATTATTGCTAAAATGCCATATGCAGCTGCAGTCTGGCCTACAAACAAATATATTAGACATAAAGTATAAGAGCATAACAGCTAATTACCCTTATAAATAATTGAATCATGATAGTTAAAGATCATATGATTGCAATAACAACTGCAATAATAATTAATGTTTAAACTTTAGAAGAAAATGTAAAAAATGTTTTTATTAAATCAGAAACTATTCTATATTCGTTTAAGTTTGCAGAGTGGTATAATCACTTAATATAAGTGAAATACTTCAACAGCTAAAATTGAACTGAAAGACAGGCATAAACTTTACTTCAACTATCATAAAGTTTAATTATAATGATAAAAATATTCAGTCTGCCAGAGCTAAGTCCAGTCAAGGGAAAGTAAAAGAGTATTATGGATTAACCCATCCAGGTGATATACATGATTATTTTGGAAATTGATAAGTTAGGTCACCTATTGCAAACTTGTGAAAAGATGTCAAAGATATAAATTCAACATCCATACCACTCTATGTATATATATTAAAATACACGTAATCAAATATTTTATCAGTTTTTCAAATACAAAGAAAATGTAATTTGGTTTGTAATGGTTAAAGGTACATAAACCACCTATACAAAGGTAGAGTTAAAATATAAATACATTCAATATTGTATCTGAGTGCTTTCTTAACTCACTTTTAGAAATAATAATACAAATTCTAATCATCTTAAGCTACATCCAACAGCCACTGAAAAATATACTTAAACAATTAAGATTCACATTGTTAAGCATCCAATCTCACGAATGTAGCTTTCCACAATGGCTGTCAGATCTTGGTTAAAAAAAATAAAAAAAAAAAAAATGTTTTCTAAGACAATTTTTGGGTGTTTCTGGTATTTTAAGCCACTAATAACTGTAGTTATTATATTTACTAATTATAACTTAGGGAATAAGTTGTCTTCTCCCTAACAGGACAAAGAAAGATAATTAACGTCATATTTCCAATTATCAACTATTCTAAATATATTGAGAGATTTTGAATAAAGGAGTATTTTTAACATTTAAAGAGAATGTAATTTTACATACCATTGTGAACAAAGGTGGTAAATATTTTGCTGCTTCAAATTATCCTTATTTATCTAAATCATATACAAGGGTGTTTATCTTTAATACAAAACACCAGAAAGATTAACTATGTTACTATTTCATCTATCATTATTATACAAAGTATAACAAATGTAAAGATTTTTCCACAGATTTTACCTGTTAACATTTTTAGCACAACAGCACCTGATGTCATTGAGATGTCTATCAATGAGATGTTACAAAGATTCCAATACAGCAAAAAGAGGCGTTCTTGAGAATCCACTTCGATTGCTGTATCAACATAACATTTACTATAACGGGATCCATGTCACTTAATACAATGTCTTGGAAATCCTGTCAATTAATTAATTCCGTAAAAGAATATCGGAGAGTATCCAATCTATACACATGATAAACGGTGTAAAAATGTTTCATGGAAAAAACAAAGCAAACAAGCAAAGACAAAGACAAATACCAACACCATCACCACGGTGATAACAGATGATGCTGATTCAATATCTGCAACCAATTCTAGCCAAATACTTGGATAGCTGGACTCTACAATCAATACCCAGGTATTCTACAAACACAACCTCCAGCAATGTATCTAAGGAATGTAAACTTCTACAGGCCTGTAAAGACTTTGGATTACAAATACAATTACTACTTTTAACTTTGGATTACAATTTGTATCCGGATCTATCCAAAAATATCTTACTCTGGAACGTGGTGTTCTTTTCAATTCTTTCCCAGACAAAAGTTTTGCTCATTTTAATCAACCACCTTTACAGGCAAAGATCACACTACGGATGTTTTACTGTTACAACAATGATCAAAAAAAAACAAACCTAAAAACAGTTGGAGAACTTTGGTTCACTATTTTAAGGAAGAAATGCGCTACAATGCACACAGTTTAATGGAGAGGGTGTTATGGGCAAATGCAAATATTACAAGTTTTAGAATGAAATGTTGTATTTCTTAAACTGTGTACTTTCTCTTTAAGAGATATTGCAAACTGACAAGGTGTTAGAAATGGAACATATTGTTTTTCATAACTGTTTCTTTAAGCAATAACCTCAGTGCATAATATGTTTGCGCCATTTTGTCCCAGACGAATTACAATAATGCATAAACAAGCTTCAAGGCTATACTACGACTCTTGCAGTACACAATATACTGTGGTAACCCCAAGTTAATGGAACTTCCCCAAATCCGGGAATCTCCCACGACTGTACACTTACGACTTAGTATAAACAACAGATAACCTATTCAGACTTTAAGATGCCATCTTGAACTAAGTCAGGAAAATTTCCATGACGTTTGCACCCTTTAGTTATGGCCTTGTATGTTAGCCAAATTAAGGGAGGTCCTAAAATTAATAAAGTAAATGAACTACGGCAACCCTAAAATGGAGACACCTAAGGTATAAATAGGTGTACTTTTAAATGTTAAATGTTAAGAACAGAGGAGAGACTTGGAGACAGACGCTGCTCCAACTTAAAATGACAGAGAGGCTGACATGATGACATGTTCAGAAGGGTATGTTAACCTATTAATGATATTTGCAAGCATGTAATTTAATCTTATAAACTCTGCTATAATGGATTTTATATTTATATTTTTATATAACAAATATCCAAAAAGACAAAACTATTGCTTCCAAGACAATCCTTATTTTATATTGTATTCTCAATTATTTATATATGTTAAATAGAGGATCTCTTACACTATATACAATTATGGCTAAGATATCTGTATGGTTAGCCCTACTAAGTTCTATGCTTTAAGACATTATAGTGGTAAATAAGGGAACCAGCCACGGTTACAATACTGAACAAAAATATTCATTGAGGCAGTCAGCTAGACCTTTATCCTCTTCTACATTCCTTCCCTCTTTTGTTTTTAATCTAACTAATCCTTGTTTTACTTTCCTTTTCTCATTTATGTATCTAAAAAATGTTTTGTCCCCTTTTTTTACTGACTGTGCTATTTTCTCTTCTGTGTGTGATTTGGAAGCTCTTATAACTGACAGGTATCCAACACGCAGAATGCAAACAGGAATAGGTACGTATACCGGACCTTAGGATGGCCAGACTAACGTATAGATAAGACAAAGAATGGTCAGAGACAAGCCGAGGTCGAGGGAACGAGAGGACAGGTAAGCGAGAGTCAAGCCGCGTATAAGGGTAAGAGAAGGTAGCAGGGTCGATAATAGAGAGCTGAATCAAAAACCAAATAATCAAAAGAAATAAGAGCACTGAGTGACCAGACAAGCTAGAACCACGACAGGGCAATGGCTCAAAATGAGCAAATGAGTCTCTTTTATACCTTGGTTCCTTAATTGGTGACCACGCACCCAAAATGTCCTGATTTGCGGTTTCTGGCGGTTCGTGACGTCATTGACGTCATGACGATGGCAATTGAGCACCGCGTCATAAAAGGAGGCGGAGCTATCGCGGCCGGCGTGTTAACGGCCGGAAAGGCTGAAACGATCAGGTGTACAAGCCCCCTTCTGAGGAACCATGTCCAAATGTCTGACCTCCTCTGAGTTAGATACCACAGGTACCATGACAGTACCCCCCTTTCAGAAACCCCCACCGGACGGACGGGACCGGGGCGAGACGGAAATCGAGCATGAAATGCCCGAAGGAGACGAGGGGTATGGATATCTTCATGAACCACCCATGATCTTTCTTCAGGCCCATAACCCTTCCAGTCAACAAGATATTGTAACTTCCCACAAGAAATACGAGAATCAAGAATGGTCTTGACTTCATATTCTTCCTGACCCTCAACCTGGACCGAGGGAGGGGTAGAGACCAGGGAAGAATATCTGTTACAAACAAGAGGTTTCAACAAAGAGACATGAAAAGAGTTTGGGGTGTGCAGGGCAGGAGGAAGGGCAAGCTGATATGCAACCGGGTTAATCCTCCTTAAGACCTTGTAAGGTCCTATGTAGCGAGGAGCAAACTTCATGGAAGGAACCCTCAAGCGGATGTGTCTGGTACTCAACCATACCCTGTCACCCAGGGGAAAAACAGGAGCAGCCCGTCTACGTTTGTCAGCGTGTAGCTTGAACCGCGGAACTTTGAACAAGAATTTGTCGAGTCTGATCCCACAACTTTCTCAGATTGGCAACATGTACATCAACCGTCGGTATACCTTGAGAAGGCGATACCGCCGGAAGAATGGTAGGATGAAAGCCATAATTCAAGAAAAAGGGGCTATTATGAGTAGAATCACAAGCAAGATTGTTGTGCGCAAACTCCGCCCAAGGAATTAGACTGACCCAATTGTCTTGGTGTTCAGAAACAAAGCATCGTAAATATTGTTCAATCTTTTGGTTGGTGCGCTCAGCAGATGAGAAATTCAACTTGATACCCAACTGGGAACAGAAGGACTTCCAAAACCGGGGAAACAAATTGGGAACCTCTGTCAGAAACGATCTCTGTAGGAATACCATGTAAGCAAAAAATGTCCTTCGCAAATATCTCAGCCAATTCGGGTGAGGAAGGAAGTTTAGGCAAAGGAACGAAATGAGCCATTTTAGTAAATCTGTCGATCACCATGAGAATAACTGTATGTTTATTGGAAACAGGTAAATCGACAATAAAGTCCATAGCTAAACTGGCCCAAGGTTTCTTGGGTATTTCTAAGGGTTGTAATAAACCACATGGGAGTGTATGTGGTTGTTTATTCTTCACACATATATCGCAAGCCCTGACATAATCCCTTATAGTAAAGTAGGCCACCAGAAGACTTTGAAAATCAGAGAACAAGTTTTGTGTATGCCGGGGTGTCCAGCAACTTTACTTTCATGAAAGCATCGAAGCAAGTCTACTTGGAACTTAGGAGGAACAAAATACCGTCCCTCAGGAGTATGTTCAGGAGCTAGATACTGTTTTTTCTCAATATCAGAAAGCAACGGAGAGTGTATTTTGACACTCGTGTTGGCTATAATATTTTGTTTGGGAATGATAGGAGACAAATCAGTTTCCGTAACAGTAGTAGGTTCATGTTGGCGGGACAACGCATCCGCTTTGGTATTTTTAGAACCTGGTCTGTAGGTGATTAAGTAATTGAAATGAGTAAGGAATAAGGACCAACGAGCTTGTCTGGCGGACAATCTCTTGGCTTCTCCTATGTAGGATAAATTCTTGTGATCCGTCAAAATGGTAATCGGGTGTAAAGCCCCTTCTAACAAATGTCTCCATTCCTTTAATGCCATTATGACCGCTAACAGTTCTCTGTCTCCAATGTCATATCTTCCTTCCGTCTCCGACAATTTTTTAGAAAAAAAGCTACGTGGATGTAATGGTTTATCCAAACCTTGTCTTTGGGATAAGACTGCCCCTGTACCTGTCTCTGAAGCATCTACCTCGAGTAAAAAAGGTAACGAGGTGTCAGGATGGACCAATATTGGTGCTGAGGCAAAAGTTTCTTTGAGCGTTTTGAAAGCAGATAGAGTCTCTGTAGACCATGTTTTGGTATTTGCACCCTGTTTAGTCATATTAGTAATAGGAGCAATAATAGAAGAGTAACCTTTAATAAAGCGCCTAAAATAATTAGAGAATCTGATAAATCTCTGTATGGCCTAGAGTCCCTTAGGCAATGGCCAATCTAAAATTGATTTAAGTTTAATTGGGTCCATCATAAACCCGTCCCTGGTAATTACGTAACCTAGAAAATTTATCTGAGATTGATCAAAGCTACATTTTTCCAATTTGCAATACAATCCATGTTGTAAAAGTTTATGCAATACCCTTCTGACTTGTCTGTGATGAGTCTCAATGTCTCTAGAATGTATTAGTATATCATCCAAATATACTATAATGCATTCATGCTGAAATTCCCTAAGAACCTCATTAATCAGATCTTGGAAGACCACTGCATTGCATTGCATAGCCCGAAGGGCATTACAGTGTACTCATAATGGCCGTAACGGGTACTGAAAGCCGTTTTCCATTTGTCTCCCTGCTGAATTCTTACCAAGTTATACGCTCCCCTTAAGTCTAACTTGGTAAAAATCTTGGAGCCCTTCAGTCTATCAAATAGCTCGGTAATCAGAGGAATGGGATATTCATTCCTAATGGTTATCTTATTTAAGCCCCGATAATCTATGCAAGGCCGCAGGGTGCCGTCTTTTTTATCTACAAAGCAGAAGCTGGGCCCAGCCGGAGATGAAGACCTTCTAATAAATCCTTTGTCTAAATTCTCTTTTATATATTCCTCTAGCACTAAGTTTTCCTTAGTGGATAGAGGATACACCGTACACCGGAGGCATAGTAAAAGGCAAGAGTTTAATAGTACAGTCATAAGACCAATGAGGAGGTAATGTGTCAGCCTTCCTCTTGTCAAAGACTGCCTTCAGATCCAGGTACTGAGAAGGTATCTGTAAGTCTGTAGGTTGGGAAGAGTTGGTAGGATCGTTTACTAAGCAGTCGGGTGTGACTTTCAGCAAACATCCTTCCCTACAAACCTGACCCCACGATAATATTTCTCCTTGTTCCCAGTCAATGATGTTTCTTAAGCCAGGGATACCCCAGGACCACTGGAACTGAAGGATAGTAGATCAACATGAGAGACGTAATTTTCTCGTGTAGGATACGAATGGTTAACCTAACGGGTATAGTCTCACGAAATATAACAGGTTC